ATCTAATAAAGAAATACTTACCCTTAGTACTCGCCCAAATCCAACGCCTCTTTTGAGTACTAATTCGTCCAACGTTACGCGAGAGACTTTCGTTTACCCTATAAATAGGGAATTTTAGAGTTGATATTTTCAGAAGAACAACACTATTTATAATTTCAAATAGACATTAGAATTAACAATTCAGTATTGTTCAAAACTATATTTATAATCACTAAAAAGTATAAATATTTTAACTTTTCAGCTTTAAATTTTTTTTTAAAAAAAATTTACAAATATGATCAATCTACAGTACAGATTATTGATTTTCAACTACAAAAAAATAACAGCCACTGCAAAGACCTCAAAATATTGGTGGCTTACAAAATGCTAATGACCAAATTCAAAGAGCCTTGAATATTGGCAGACAAATTGTAAGGTTTCAGAATACAGCAAATCTATTTAACAATAATTTTATTGCTGTTCAAAATTATACAAATCTTGTCAGTAGTGCGGGATCTGTTCACTAAAGTGTGTAGAAATCTATCATCACAGAATGAACAATTTTCAACATAAACGATCACAGGGTTTTCTTCCCATAAATGGTACATAAATATATGTCATTTAAGTTTTGTTTTTATGATTAAATAAATGATATTTATTGTAATAATTTACATTCTAAATATAAAATTAGCTCTAAGGAAAATGTAGGAAAATAATTTTAAATTGCAAATTCTATCAATCATATTTATAAAGTCATCTCTTGATAAGACTAAATAAAATTTTCAAAAAATTCATATTAGTTCAATATAAAAATGCCATTGGTTTTTATAACTTTTTTTGTTTTGTAACTGTTAGTTTTTTATAACAGTAGTTGACTATACTCAAATATGAATATATATATTTTTGACAGTTAATTAATATGTAAAAATTTTATTTATTTATTATATTTAATTTAAAATATATTAGGATCATGCTTAATAAAATCAATAAATCCAATATTTTGTAAATTTTTATTCACTGTATAATGTTTTATTTTTAATAAAACCAAAATTCTGTTTATAACAAAAACCTGAATGATTTGACCAAACACTTCGTTTAATTACATCTTGTAATAATTATTCCAAAAGTAATGTTAAAGGGTAGAATATATTTTTTAACAGTAAAATTAACTAACACAAGAGGAATTAAATAAGTCAATTTACCAGAGTAAAGGTTGGAACCAGTTTTAATAATTCAAGTTTATCTTGTAAATTTGGTGATATATTAGAAATTTATCTAATTAAATTTAATAAATCCTAAAATATCACAAAATTTATGTGATAAACTGAATTATTAAAACTTCACACTGGAGGCATGATTATGGTTTGTGCTGGCTGGCCACTAGCAAGGCCAATCGCTGTAAACAATGACTGAATTGGACAAAAAAAATTGTTCATATAAAAAAGCTAGTAATATTATATAAATTAAAAACTTTTGGCCGAAAGTTTGCTATTCATTGTTTAATGGTAATTTTAGCCTATAAATGTCAAAAAAATTGGTTGGTCATTTAAATTGTCAAAATTGATTATAGTAATTTGATTAATGTCAAGGATTTTATAGTACAACTCACTCTTGCCTTAGTGAAGTAATCCATTCAATTAATAAAAATTTTAAAAATTTACTATATTAAGAGTTTATTAACAAATTCATTATATTGAGAGAATTTTATATATATTTGTTTTTAGCTTGACTTTACTATATCAAGATGGTAATTTCTTGCTAAATTTACTATAGCTTATGCTTTATTTGGTAATCTTTAGCAAATATGATTATTATATATAAAATATAAAAATTGAAATAATACAGTATAAGTTAATAAAACAAATTTACAAATAGTATTATATAAAAAAAATAAAAAAATAGCAGTTATAGAAGCATTAAATACAATCTAAATAGATCATTGAATTAAAAGAAAAAACAGGCTAAACCAGACCTAGACTTATTATTTAGTTAATTATAAAAAATATATTTAAAGATATATTTAGAATGTTTAATTCAAATTTAAGAGAATTCTTATAATTTGAACAAGGGTTGAATTAAAAATAAATTTATTTAAATTATTAAAAACTAGTATATAGTTTTTATAAACCAAAAATTCAAAAAATAAATATTTGCACAAGTAGTAATCATAGTAAATTATAACAAAAATAAAACTAAGTTATCTAATTATATAGTAGAAATAAGAAAAAAATTATAAAAGTTTTTTTGTATAATAAAACAACTAATACATATTTGAAAAAGAATATAAATAGTCAAGATTTCTAATAATTTTTACAAGCAAAGAAAGGCATTAAAAAAAATCATATAAATAAATAATAAGATGTAATTAGTAAGAGTATTATTATAATAACAAAAAAAAATATCTTATAAAAAAATTTTCAAATACAACAATTGCAAAAAAAAAACTAAAAAATTTTAGTTAAATAAAATATTTATACAATTAAAAAAATAAATAAATATAAAAAAAATAAATATTAATTAAATTTTATAAAAAACAATATAACTAATATAAATAAAGAATTTGGATATATTAATAAACAATATAAAATATATATAGATTTAGTACAAAATTGGACCCAAGAACTTATTGATAACTTAAAAGATTGGTGAAAGATTTTTTAAAAAAGAAGAAATAGTAAATTAAAGAAACAAAAAAATAAATATATAAAATAATATAAAAAAATATTAAATAATTATTAAAAAACATGCTAGAATGTTAACAAACCTTTTGGATAAACAAATAACAAAAAATTAGACAGGCTTAGCAATAAGAAAAATAAATAGAAAAATCTGCTTATTAAATTAGTTAAAGTATTAAAAAAAACAAAAAATTATTACTAAAGTCAATTTAAATTATAATAATTTAACTAAAAATTATAAAAATAATTAAAAATATATAAATAAATAAATTTATTAAGAGATCTAAATTAAAATATAACAAAAAAAATAATGTAAAATGCTACTAGAACTAAGAAAAAAATATAATTAAAAATCTTATATATTATATATATACTAATTTAAGTAGCAAGAATTAAAACTTAAAAAGTATTAAAATATTTATTGAAATTAGGTGTAATCAAAAAAAATAAAAAACATTATTACAAAATAAAGTAAATTTCTTAGTGACTACTATTTTGTTCAGATGCTTCTTGTAATTTTACAGTTTTTGTTTAACTAAACGTATATACTTTTATACTCAAATGCATTATATTTTTATTAATACTATTCTTCTTTTAATAAGATGTTTATCTTTTTTTTTTATTACTAATCAAGAAACTAACTTTTTTATTTAAATTTGCTATTAATATAAATTTCTTATTATATATTTTATATAACTCTTTAACTATTTCTTTTATTATTAATAAATAAACTTTTAATTTTTTCTAATATATTATTATTGTTATATACTTAGTATTATAGTACTTAATAGACATAATCTTACTAATGTTTATTACTTTAATTTACTTTCAAAACCTCAATTAACTATATTAAAATTATTATTTTATCAAAGTGTATAGCAATGCAGTGAAGTGCATAAGTTGTTAACTCCTAAGTAGCAGGTCTAAATTTCAAATCTCAGTAATAGTAAAAAATTTGCAATTTTTTTTGTATTATAGTTAACTGTTTTCTGTGATTGGTTGGAATTAGGTACCTATAACCTATAGCATGCCAGTATAACTGAAAGGTCTAGGCATTTGTACAATATTGTATAAAAGAACACAAACTAGTACCAGGTAGTGTAAACTCAAGATAAGTACTTAGGTCATGTAAATCATAAGAATTAGATAGAAAGATTAAAGCTCACTTGAAAGACCTAAGTAGAGAGGTAATCCAAACTTTTAACAATGCTACTGTAAAGACTAGATCTATAAAACAGAACTAGAACTTGTGAAACTGGGCAAATGTGCTAGTCTTTGAGAAGAAACTAAATGAATCAATTAGGCTGTCAGAATTTTCAGATTTCAGAAAAAAAGTGTACATGTTAGCAAATATGTAAATCAGAGGTATGATTATAGCCTACCTTTTTGAGTTATCTGAATGGCAGCTTGGTGTAACTTGAATTAAATACCAAAATAGTAGGAATATTTTATGAAATCAGTATCATGGTTGGGGTAAACTTTATAAGAGCATAGCAGTTTAATAATACACTCTAACTGCCAGTATTGGTCTTGGCTATAATGATACCAGATCAGCTATAAGAATAGAATACAAAAGATTCTAAAAGGTTAGTACAAGGTCAAAGGTTCCAAAGAACTGCTTTAAAGATTTAGTAATTATGACATATTTTCACTAGAATCAGCTAGAGTCATTGGTAGGCAGAAGTAGGTAGATGGATATGAAAACTAGAGTGTTTAATAAGAAATCTACAAGCAGATTTCAGGTATGACAGCTAGTATAAAACCTTTAGATGAACTACTTAAATTAGACAATAACTAAAGTTGTACAAGTAGCTGTTGTATACTCCTTTCATAGTTGTTATTATAGTTGTAATACAACTATTAGCCAAATATATAATAATAAAATCCTGGGTCACAAGTACTTATTTTCATATTTTTTTTTAAAAAAAAATTATTATTTGTCAATTCTTGACTTTTATAAAATAATAATGATAAATATTAAAACTAGAAGTAAAGTAAGAAAAATCAATTATGAACAAATAAAACAGAAATAAACTACTAATTGTTTTATTAAAGATTGTTAAACTAAAATGCTAAAATGTTTTTACATATTTTAGAAATAAATAATGCTTTTAATAAGTTAATAAAATAATATGCAAATTGGCTACAAATGATTAATATAGAATTCTTAAAAAATACTTTAGCAAAATTTTATAAATAATACTTTTGATAAGTTAATAAAATAATATGCACTTTGGTTACAAATGATACATATTGAATATATGAATAATGATAAAATAATAAAATGTACCTATATAGTCCTATTAGTTAGCTGATATGCATATTGGGTAAAATATCAGTAAACTAACAGTTATCTAGATTATAGAAAGATTAAATGTAAATATCTGCTATATAATAATATATCTTTAG